ATTTTTTTTTTTTAAAAAAAAAAAATTGGGGGGTGTTTTGGGGAAGAAGTTTTTTTTGTGGGGGGTTTGTTTGGGGGGAAAAAAATGGGTGGGGTTTGGTTGGGGTTTTTTTTTGTCAAGTCCTCCGTTCAATGGTTCGGGAAAAAATGGGGTGTTTTTTGGGAAAGAGAAAGTTTGTGTTTTTGGTTGGGAAAAATGGGGGTGGTTTGTTGTTTGTCAGTCCCCTCGTTTCATGTTGGGGGAAAATGGGGTGGTTTTGTCAGGTCCGTTAATTTTCGTTGTTTTTGTAAGAGACGTTTGGAAGGAAGTTTGTTTGTTGGTTGGAAAAAATAATATCACCAATCTGGTTGTTATCGAGAAAATGGTGTTGTTAATAGCACTCTATAACCGAAAATGATGTTGTCATTCGCGATATTTCACAAGAAAGCGTTGTTGTCAGTCCCGCTCGTGTTGTCAATCACGGCAGTCGTACATAAAGTGGTGTCAGTCCTTTCCAGAGATATCTACGTAGCTCGTGGTCATGATGTTGGCAGTGTTGTCAGTTATTGTGATGTCACTCGTGATTTTTGTACAAAATGATGTCAAAAGGGATAAAATGCGATTAAGAATGAAGAGAAAGATGGATACAAGGAAAGGAAAGAGGGAGATGGTCTTTGTGAGAGACGGAAAGAGAAAAGCAGAGATAGACAGACAGAAAGAGAGAGAGAAAGAGACATAGATAGAGCAACAGAGGGAGAGGGAGAGAGAGAGAGAGAGAGAGAGAGAGAGAGAGAGAGAGAGAGAGAGAGAGAGAGAGAGAGAAGAGAGAGAGAGAGAGAGAGAGAGAGAGAGAGAGAGAGAGAGAAGAGAAAGAGAGAGAGGAAGAGAGAGAGAGAGAGGAAGAGAGAGAGAGAGAGAGAGAGAGAGAGAGAGAGAGAGAGAGAGAGAGAGAGAGAGAGAGAGAGAGAGAGAGATAGAGAGACAAAGAGAGAGAGAGACAAGAGAGAGAGAAAGAGAGAGAGAGAGAGAGACAGGCAGACAGACAGACAGACAGAGACAGAGGCAGAGACAGACTGAGAAAGAGAGAGAAAGAGATAGAGAGAGAGTGAGACAGACAGACAGAGACAGACAAAGAAAGAAAGAAAGAAAGAGAGAGACAGACAGACAGACAGACAGAGAGACAGACAGAGGCAGAGACAGACAGAGAAAGAGAGAGAGATAGAGACAGACAGACAGACAAACAGAGAGAAATACAGAAAGACAAATAGACAGACAGACAGAGGCAGAGACAAACAGAGAAGAGAGATAGAGAAAGAGAGAGAGAGAGAGAGAGAGAGAGAGAGAGAGAGAGAGAGAGAGAGAGAGAGAGAGAGAGAGAGAGAGAGAGAGAGAGAAAAGAAGAAGAAAGAAGAAAGAAAGAAAGAGAGAGAGAGAAAGAGAGAACGAGAGAGAGAGAGAGCAGAGGGCGCAATATGCGAGAGTGATGCTAAGGGGGGGGGGGCGAGGGGAGCCGAGATCAAAGAGAGATACAGCATCCCCCTTCAGTTCCCCGGATATGACGTCACAAATACCCCCCCCCCTTCCCCCGATTGAAGAACGAATTATTCGACAAAGACGATGCAGAAATAAAAGCAGGCAACGATAAGGGGATATAATTAATGATAAAAATGGAAGAAGAAAATCCATAAGATCGCGAAAGGAGGAGATGACAAGGAAGAAAGAACGTGGAAGGGAGAGAGAAGGGAAGAGAAATTCCTCCCTTTTTTTTAGAAGAGCATAAATATGTAATGAATACATTCGCCATCCAACTTTAACGGACATACGAGAAGGGGAGAGTGCCTGAAGCCCCGCCCATCGCACGAACGGCAACCAATCAGCGCCAACCTCGTCAACAAGGTGGGCGGGGCTTATTTCCCCTCGCTGCACGACGCATATATATGAAGCTGTATTGATTTTTTTGTCCTTTTTTCTCCCTCTGTCCCTCTCTCTTTCTCTCTTTTCCCTCCCCCCCTTCCCCCCTTTTTCCTTTTTCCCTTTCCTCCTCCCCACCTGGCGAAAGGGGGGGAAGGTTTTGTAAAAGAAAACGATTTTTTCTCTCTCCTTTTCATATATACGTTGATAAAAAGCCAAGAGGAGGGAAATATATATTGAAAATGGTGAATCATCTCTAAGAATTAAAGACAAATATATAGATCATTCTAGAATAAAAGGAAAACGGAGAGACTATGACGAAATGAAGAAAATATAAAGAAAAATAAAGTAAAAAATGGATATTTATACACGAACACACATACATATTCATAATTCTACGAATGTTGGCGCACATAGCATGACTGTATTCTTATGCGTATTTCAGAAGTTAGGATGACTTCATGTGTACATTACGTGTCTACATGAACGTGCGTTGATGGTGTATGTATGTAAATATGATAATAAATACCGATAATGATGACAGCAATAATAGCGATAGTAATAATGAGGATGAGGATGATATTAATTATTATAAAATTGATAATGATAAAATTTGTAAAAATGAGGACAAAAATATTCATGATACTGATAGTAATGATAATGATAATAATAGAAATAGGAATAATAATAATGAGGATAATAATATTAATCATAATAATGGTAATAATTACAGTGATAACAATAATGATGATGATAACAAATAGATAAATGCATCAATAAAAAATTGAAATAACCTATTTTCTTTATAAATAATCCGTTTGTAAGTAAGATTCTCCGTGTGTCCATATTTGTTATTTACATGATGTAAGATTTTTATAAGTAAAATAAGCAAAAACCTTTCGACTCGTGTAATCTAATCTTGATCATCTGAATACTAAATTATTTATACATTTCTTGATATTCTGTGATATACTGAAAACATTTAGTCGAAGAGACAAACGCTAAGAAATTGAGACTGAAAAAAAAATCTCGATAAAATAAAAGGTAATTTGGAATATCACTAATTTCTCTCTCGCTCTCGCTCTCTCTCTCTCTCTCTCTCTCTCTCTCTCTCTCTCTCTCTCTCTCTCTCTCTCTCTCTCTCTCTCTCTCTCTCTCTCTCTCTTTCTTTTTCTTTTTTTTGACCTTAATATTTAACTCTCAAAAGTATGGTCACTATTGGCTTTGATTTTAGCATTTTATTTTTGACGCGTTTTGAGGTTTTGAGGACCGCGCTGTGTATAGAAGTCATCATCTACAAAAGATGCATAAAAAGACAAAAAACATCACCATCGTGTGTGTGTATGTGTGTCTATGTATGTATGTATGTATGTATGTATATTTATATTTTTATGTATGTATGTATATATATATATATATATATATATATATATATATATATATATTATATATATATATTATATATATATGTATATATATATATATATATATATATATATATATGTATATATATGAACCAAAGAATCATCACGAAATGATGACGATGATAATAATGATAATAATAATAACATAAATATAATAATAATAATGATAATAAAATAATAATAATTAATAATATAATAATAATAATAATAATAATAATATAATAATAATAATAATAATATAATAATAATAATAATATAATAATAATAATAATAATAATAATAATAATAATAATAATAATAATAATAATAATAAATGATATATAAAATAATAATAATAATAATAATAATATAATAATAATAATAATAATAATAATAATAATATAATAATAATAATAATAATAAATAATAATAATAATAAATATACATAACAAAAATAATAACAATAAAGGCATAATTAATGCATCATCCTTCACCAATGATTAAGAAATAAATAAATGAATTTTTTTTCTCAAAAATCATATTACAAAAAGAACGGAAAATGTGGAGATACAACACAGGAAATTTGACAAAGAATATGAGTATCAGGTTTCAGGATTTTTTTTTTTTCTTCTTCTTCTTCTTTTCTTTCTTATGTTGTTTTTTTTGAATGTCGAGGCGAGGTTTGGAAAAAAAATCATCACCGTTATTTGTTGTTATTTGTTTCTGTTGGTGATTATCGTTGATTTTTCTTTCTTAGTTTTTCTCGTATTTTTTTTCTGGAAAGTGAAAATATATAGAAAAGACGGAATATGAATGGGTGAGAGCAAGAGAAGAGAGAGAGAGAGAGAGAGTGAGAGAGAGAGAGAGAGAGAGAGAGAGAGAGAGAGAGAGAGAGAGAGAGAGAGAGAGAGAGAGAGAGAGAGAGAGAGAGAGAGAGAGAGAGAGAAGAGAGAGAGAGAGAGAGAGAGAGCCACAAAGAGAGGGACAGAGAGGAGAGAAAGATTAACGTAGAAAGAAAGAAAAAAAAACGAACAGAGAAGTAGCCGAAGAAAACCATCTGATCTTCACTCGTGTAACAGAAGAGAAAAAGAAACAAAGAAAAAAAGTGATCGAGAGAAAGAGGAAGAGAAGATAGACGATAGTCACGTAGAAAAATGGAAATGAGAGAAAGAGAAATGAGGGATAGAGAACGTAGATCACAAAGGAAATGAGTCACTGCCACCCACTCGTCATCCGTGTCTCGTGTCACGTGACATTCCAAGAAACGTAAACACGAAACAGCTGATCATGACGTCACATCCGCACATGAAAGTGTCATGGCGGATGCCGGATGGATATCCTAACTTCTTTTATTGTTCTTTTCTATCTCGCTCTTTATTGTTTTATCTAGTTATCATCCTCTTACTACGTTCTTGTCGCTCATAAGAGGCTTTTAATCTTTATATCCTTTCGTTATTGCTTTGTTTGTTTTTCTTTTGTTTCGTCCATAGAGTATTGAAAAAGGAGGGAACTGAAATCATCATAAACCAAAAAAAAAAAAAACATTTTATTGATTAAGTCTACAGTGTCAACTATACATTATACATCAGTGTACATATACGTACGGCATGGATGGAAGAGAGGGGAGAAGAAGGGGGGAATAAATGGGGTTAACGGTGACGGGGGAAGAATAGGAGGAATAAATATGTGAAATCTCACGACTTCATCACAAAAAAGAAAACTTAAATATATATATCGTGTATATACATGTGCAGAAATTAAACCCCATTAATTATTTTGATGGAGAGCCCCCCCCCCATCTCCACTCTCCCTCACACACCCAATATATTTCATAATTGTTATCATTTCGACCTTAACTATCTCTCCAAAAGTCGTCCCAAAGTCGGCCATTTGTGCTGGCCAGGAGGAGCCGTTGTTGATGTTTGTTTTTTTATATATTGCACACAAGTTTTTTTTTTATCAATTTCTCTTGCAGTTATCTTGATTCTAATTTTAACAATGTCTTCTTAATATAATACTATAGAGGGCAAACCACAATCAGGTTTAAATGAATTTTTGCGAAATTTTCTACAAAAGTCTTGGCTGACCAGGTTCGCCAACCCCCCACACAGGAGTCTAAATTTCTCTCTTTTTCCATAAAACTTCAGTCATAACAATTTCTTTACCTGTGCCAAGCTGATAAATATTAATCTTTCAGGCTTAGGTAATAGACACAAACATCAAAGTCACTCAACAACAATAAACAGAAACAAATGACGATCAACGTGACCGAAGCCATAGCCGTTAGAGGGGGGGAAGCTCATCCGAACATCTATAGCAATAAATATTAATAAATCTTTGGTATTCACTATATAATCAAGACTTGGCCCACAGAATCACGAGCTAAACTACAATTAAAAATAAAAGAAAAAAACGAATTACAATGAGAAACTGTTGCTGCCATCAATTAAAAAGAATAATCAGTTTAAAAAAAAAGATTAGTCACAGCTGAAAGTGCTATGACGAGTGTGTACAATATGTGTTAGTACATTTTTACGTTAGCAAGGACAGGGCATTTGCTAGGTTAAGCTTGGTCACACACACACACACACACACACACACACACACACACACACACACACACACACACACACACACACACACACACACACACACACACACACACACACACCGACAACTGGCTTAGGCAGGTTCAGCATAATACGCCTATAGTACATGTTTCACCATAACCTGTCTTTAAACCAGTATTCATTTAGGTCTTTTTTAAGGTCTTTTGTCTGGGCAGGACCGCTCCCTATTGGCCCTGTGTTAGACAAATGTTCAGGACGTTAGATGAGTTTCTAACACGTGCCCTAGATTGAGTTTCCAATATATTCGGGAAAAGGCGAAGGGGTATCTGTCTATCGCTCGCCTTTGTACATCTTTGTGAAAACACACGTACTGTACAGAGAAATCACATTGTCAGACTTAATTCACGCAATCACATACACATATGTTACTGTTTTCAGATATCTTGCATTCACACTTTGAATATTGGCTCTCGTAGAGATCTATCGTTCCTGATTGGCCGGAATTTCCATGACGTCATCATCCGTAGCATCCATTCAGAGAGAAGGTGGGCGGCGCTACACCCTGTATCGACCCCATGATTGGTCAATACTCTCTCTCTCTCTCTCTCTCTCTGCTTTCGTCATGCACAATACGAGAAAGCCAAGCACAAACACGCACGCTTATATATATATAAAAAAAACAATAATTATAAAGCACACACGCTCTGACACACGCAAATTATATATATTTACACGCATACATTCTCTGACAACACTGGTATGTACGTCCAGCTGGTCTTCTGCAATCGGCGCTTTCTCAGTTGCGTGGAAGTCAACTCTTGCGATGCAGAAGGTTGAGAATCTGCAAGGAAGGGAGAGGAAGGAAGGGTTAGTAGATTCGCGCAGATTGGCTTTTGGCTTGTTATTCAATTTTCTTTTTCTTTCTTTTTTTATCTTTGTATTATTTTTGTGACATTAAAATAATAAATATTTTAAAAAATGATATCAAGTGATTACAAAGAAATTTTCATTGATACAAAAAGTACAAAAAATATGAGAGAGAGAGAACTAGAAAAGAGAAAAAAATAATTGAGAGAGGTTAAGAAAAGAAAGAAAGAGAGAGAAAAAGAGAAAAAAAAGAGAAAATAAAAGGGAAGAAAAACAGATAGAGAGATAGAGGGAGAGAGAGAGAGAGAGACAGAGAGAGAGAGAGAGAGAGAGAGAGAGAGAGAGAGAGAGAGAGAGAGAGAGAGAGAGAGAGAGAGAGAGAGAGAGAAGAGAGAGAGAGAGAGAGAAGAGAGAGAGAGAGAGAGAGAGAGAGAGAGAGAGAGAGAGAGAGAAGAGAGAACAAAAAAAAAAAAAAAAACAAGAAAAACACCAAAACAAAACGAAACAAAAACATACACAACCCACCCCCCACCCCCCCCCAAAAATATATATAAATAAATAATAACAAACAAGTAAATATATAAATACATAAATAAACAAATAAAAAAAAAAAAAATAAAAAAAGAAAATTCACCTGCTAGCGCACTTGGATGTTGGCCTGCTCGGTGTGGGCGTGTGGGTGCGTGTGGCGTGGGGTGGGTGTGGGCTGAGTGGCGTGGCTTGTCGTGGGGACTCTGAAGGCGCGCTGCTTCTCCTCGAATTCCCGAAGGCGGGCTTTGTACTTCTCGATCTCCTCCCGAAGGATGCGGTCCTCCTCCTGCGGCCGAGGGAGAGGAAGGCGGGTGAGTGAGGGAGACTAGTCTGGAGGAGAGAGAAGGGAGAAGGGTGACAGTGAGGGAGATTTGGCGTGAGTAAGGAAGAATTGGGTGAGTAAGGAGAGGATTGCGTGTGAGTAAGGAAGCGCGCAATGCGAGTAAGGGAGTATGGGTGAGTATAGGAGAGATCTGGGCGTGAGTTAAGGGAGACTTGGTCAAGTGAGTTAACGGCGAGATTGGGCGCTGATGTAAGTTCAGAAGATTGGATGCATGTAGTTAAGCGGAGATTTGCTGTCAAGTAAGTTAGGAAGATTGCGGTTTTATAGGGAGGATTGACGGGTAGAGTTAAGGGAGATTGGTGTGAGTTAAGTGAAGATTGGGAGTGTGCAGCTTACAGTCGAGAGGAAGGCGGAGCTGTTGAGTAAGGCGGCAAGATTGGCGTGAATGTTAAGCGGGAGATTGGGTGAGTTGAGGGAGATTGGCATTCGTGCTAGTAAGGCGAGATGGAAGGCGGCGTCGAGTAAGGGAGGATTGGGTGAGTAAGGGAGATTGGGTGAGTTAAGGAAGCATTGGGATTTCGTGAGTAAGGGAGAGGAAGGGCGGAAAGTAGTAGAGTAAGGGAGATGTGAGGTGAAGTGAGGGAGATTGGGTGAGTAAGGGAGATTGGGTGAGTAAGGAGAGGAATGGCGGCTGTGAGTAAGGGAGATTGAGGTCGGTAAGTTAAGGAGATTGGCGTGCAAGTTAAGAGAAGAAGTTGGGTGAAGTAAGAAGATTGTAAGTGAAGATAAGGGAGAGGAAGGCGGTGTGGGAGTAAAGGGAGATTGAGTTAATGGGTAAGCGAGATTTGGCGTGAAGTAAGGGAAGACTTGGTGTGAGTAGGGTGAAGGATTGCTTTGTGGTGGAGTAAGGAGAGGAGGCGGTGCAGTTACAGGGAGCATTGAGTGATGTAAGGGAATGGCGTGGAGTAAGGAATGATTGGCGTGCTAGTATGGAAGGCTAATGATGTGTGTTAGGAAGATGGGCGTGGATAAGGAGAGTGGATGAGTAAGGGAGATTGGGTGAGTAAGGAAGATTGGGGTGAAGTAAAGGTAAGATTGGGTGATAAGGGAAGATTGGGTTGAGGAAGGTTAAGATTGGCGTAGAGTCAAGGAAGAGTTGACGGGTGCAGGTATTGTGGAAGATGGCGTGAGTATTCGGATGATTGGCTCGCGTCGAGTAGTTAGGAGAGATTGAGCATGAGTAAGGAAGATGCGGTAATTAAGGAAGATTAGATAAGATAGTAAGAAGATTGGATAAGAAGCCAGCAAGTGAACAGACGGGTTAAAAATAAGTAAGGAAGGTGGTGTAATTTTAGGACAGATTGTGATAAGGGTAAGGGAAATGGATAATAAGGAAGATTGGATAAACTGGTAAAGCAAGGAAAGTATGATAATTTTAGGAGATTGGCAATAAGATGGTTACTCGATTAACGTAAGGGGCAAGCATGGCTAGTTTAGAAGCATTGGATAAGCGTGTAGTGCAGGAAAACATGGACTAATTTAGGAAAGGATTGGTATATGGACGCCGATACGATAAGGAAGATGGATAATTAAGGAAGAGATTAGATACGCATAGTACCATTAACTATCGAAGATGGATAATAAGGAAGATGGATAAGAAAAGATGGATAAATTAAGGAAGATTGGATAAGATTGGATTCGAATAAATAAGGAAGATTGGATAAGAAAAGATGGATAAGTTAAGGAAGATTAGATACGATCAGCTACCATAACTAACGAAGATGGATAATCAAGGCAGACTGGATAAGTAATGAAGATGGATAATTAAGGAAGATTGGATAAGATGGATTCGATAAATAAGGAAGATTGATAATTTAGGAAGATGGGATAAGTAAGGAAGATGGATAATCAAGGAAAATTAGATATCACAGCTACCATAACCAACGAAGATGGATAATCAAGACGAAGATGGATAATCAAGGCAGACTGGGACAACAACAAACCAAAACAAACAAACAAACAAAACAATCAAGCCACTCACGGCAGCGGACTCCTCGTCGTACTCGAGGCAGCCGACGCCGTCCAGCCGCTCGAGGTCGACGTAGCCTCTCCACCTCACGCAGACGCCGTTCATGATGAAGGGGGACCGGAGGTGGACCTTGAGGGGGAGAGAAAGAAGGGTTAGTGATTGGGGTGATTGGGGGGGGAAATGGGGGGGAGGGGGAGTGGGGAGGGTGGGAGGGGGGAGGGGGGGAAGAAGGCAGATTAGGGGTGGGGAGGTAAGGAGAGGGGGAAAGGGAGGGGAGGTAGACAGGGAGGGGGAGTGAGCGGGGGAGGGGTTTAAGGGGGTGGGGGAGGCGGAGGGAGGGCGGGGGGAGTGGGGAGGTAGAAGGGGAGGCGGGAGTGAGGGGAGTGGGGTTAAGGGGGGAGTGAGGAGGTAAGCGAGGGTAGAAGGGAGGAGGAGGAGGGGGAGGGGTTAAGGGGGCGTGAGGGGAGGGTGAGTTAGAAGGGGAGGAGGGGCGAGGGGTTAAGGGGAGTGAGGGGAAGGGGGTTAAGGGGAGGTAAGGGAGATAAGGGGGAGGGGAAGAGAGGGGTTCAGAGACGAGGGTAAAGAGGGAGAGGGGGAGGGAGGGGAGGCTGAGGGTTGGGGGGGGGGGGAAATGAGACAAGAGAAGGGGGAAGGGGGTAAAGATCGGAAAGGGGAGAGAGAGGCGAGTGAGGGGAACGGGGTGAGCGGAGCGGAGTGAGAGGTGGGGGGGGGGTTGAGGGGAGTCTTGGTGGGGGGGTATGACGTCTCTATAATTTTGATCTCCGGCCTGGATCAGATTAATTAGGAGAACGTTGAGCCAGTGTGTGTGCGCATGTGGGAGAGAGGAGAGAGAGACAGAGGACGAGCGAGAGAGGAGGGAGGGAGGGGAGAGAGAGAGAGAGAGAGAAGAGAGAGAGAGAAAGAGAGAGGAGAGAGAGAGAGAGAGAGAGAAGAGAGAGAGAGAAGAGAGAGAGAGAGAGAGAGAGAGAGAGAAGAGAGAGAGAGGAGAGAGAGAGAGAGAGAGAGAGAGAGAGAGGAGAGAGAGGAGAGAGAGAGAGAGAGAGAGAGAGAGAGAGAGAGAGAGAGAGAGGAGAGAGAGACGAGACAGACAGACAGACAGACAGACAGACAGACAGACAGACAACAGACAGACAGAACACACACACACACACACAGAGGGAGAGACAGACAGACGGAGACAGAACGAAAGAGAGAGAGATAGACAGAGAAAATGAGAGAATGAGCGAGTGAAGAAAGTGCGTGAGCGAGGCAGAGGGAAGTGAGTGAGAAGAGTGGAGTGATTAGTGAATGAGTGAGTTGAGTGAGAGTCAAGTGAATGGAGTGAGTGAGTGAGTGAGTGAGTGAGTGAGTGAGATGAAGTGAGTGATGGATGAGTATGAGTGAGTGAGGTGAGTGATATGATAGTGAGTGAGTGAAGTTGAGTGAGTGAGTGAGTGAGTGAGTGAGTGAGTGAAGTGACGAATGCCGTTCCTAAAACTGTCAGTCATTTAGAGTACAAGAGGAATGAGGTACCAAGAATGAGGTGGGGAGGGGAGGGGGGGGGGTACCAAAAACCGGTACCCTCCCTCGCTAATAGAAAACACATTGTTAACTCATGAATTTTGAGGGTGTCAGTGTGGTGTGTTGTGTGTGTGTGATAGGTGTGTGTGTGTGTGTGTGTGTGTGTGTGTGTGTGTGTGTGTGTGTGTGTGTGTGTGTGTGTGTGTGTGTGTGTGTGTGGTGCAATGTTTCTTTGAGTATGTCAGCGAGATTTGTGTGTTGTGCGTGCGTGCGTGTGTGTGTAGGTGTTCTTTGAGTGTGTCAGCGAGATGTGTGTGTGTGTGTGTGTTGTGTGTGTTGTGTGTGTGTGTGTGTGTGTGTAGTGTGTGTGTGTGTGTGTGTGTGTGTGTGTGTGTGTGTGTACATACGTGGTCCGTGTCGCGTGGTGTTGTGGCGAGCAGGGCAAAACCGCAGTGACAATAAAGCAATAACACACCCCACCCCCTTAACCTCATCCCCCCCTTCCCGACCCCCCCCCACCCCTCAACCTCAGCGGGAGGGGAGGGGGAGGGGGGGGAGGCCCACCCAGTCATTAACAAGTTACAGGTTTTCTCGCCGTTTGTAAAAAAAAGAAAAAAGAAAAAGAAAAGAAAAGAAGAGAGAGAGAGAGAGAGAGAGAGAGAAGAGAAAAAGAGAGAGAGAGAGAGAGAGAGAGAGAGAGAGAGAGAGAGAGAGAGAGAGAGAGAGTAGAGGATTGGGGAATAAAGGAGAATAAAAATGGATAAGAGAAAAGGAAGAATGATAGGAAGGAAGGATAATAAGAGAAGAAAAAGAAAAAGAGAAAAAATGAAAAGAAAGATACAGGAGAAATAAGAGAGAAAATGTGAAGAAAAAAAATAGAGAAAAGAAAGAAAAAATCATTAAACAAAAGATAGGGGAAAAAGAGAGAGAAAAATGTGAGGAAAAAAAAATACAAAAATAAAAAAATCATTAAAACAAAAAAAAGGAAAAGGCAATAAAACAAAATAAAAGAGAGGAGAAAAAGAAGAAAAAATCTCCCCTCCATCAGGACAATAAACCATATAAGTTGACACGAAAAACTGACGAAATTGTCGCGGGCGGAACGAACGAGGCGCCCCCACGCCCACCCCGCCCGCCCCACGCCCAACATTGCCATCACACCCACCCCGCCTGCACGCCCGCTCTCACGCCCACATGCCATTCACACCTACCCGCCGCTCCGCACGCTCGCTACGCTCTCACGCCCACGCGCCCGCTTCACGCCCACATGCCATCACGCCCATCCGCCTCACGCACGCCCACCGCCGCCTGCACGCCCATCTCACCCTCACGCCCACATGCCGTCACGCCATTCGCCTCATGCACGCCCACTCGCTACCCCCGCCGCACTCACGCCCACTCTAACGCCCACCGCCGCCCCGCACGTTCGCCCTCCCGCCCACCTTCACGACCCTCACGCCCTCGTGCTGGTGAGTGTCTATGTATCTGCGTGAATGTCTGCAAAAGCCATTTTTTGCGTGGTGTAGTGTGTGTGTGTCTGTATGTGTCTGTGTTTTTTCTTTACGTGTTTGTGTGCACTGTTTGTGTGTGTTTTTTCGTGCCTGTATGTGTCTGGTTCGTGTTTATGTGTGCTTCGTGTCGTATTGAGGCTATTTTCGTGTGTCTATGAGTGGGTGTTCTGTATGTCGTATGTGTGACTGTCTTCTGATTGGGCACATGTTCTTCGTTCTGTGTAACTGTCTCAATTGCTTGGTTGTCTGTGCTAATGTCTGTGTCTGTATGTCAGTAACCTTCGTTGCTGTCTGGAGTGTGTGTGTGTGTGTGTCTGTGGTGTGGTGTGTGTGTGACGTGTGTGTGTGTGGTGTGTGTGGTGTGTGGCGGATAGTGGTGTTGTTGTGTGTGTGTGTGTGTGTGGTGTGTATGATGTGTGTGTTGTGTGTGTGCTGTCCTCCTGTGGGGCGTGTCTTCGTAGTGCATTCGTGCTGACATCTGCGCGTGTGCGTGTGGATGCGTGTGGCATGCGTGTACCATCCTGGCCGCATGTGTAGGTAACGTGCGGTGTCTCTGTCTCTTTTGTACGTGTGTATGTGTGCGTGCTTTATCCTTATCCTTCTGTGCGAAATTCAGTTTGCTGTGTGACTCATGCGTTCCATCCCTCCCGGTGTGCGATGTGTTACATATCAGTTCCGCCGACTTACGGTGCACTATTCCCTCCCCGCGCTCCCTCCCCCCTCCCCTCTGCCTTCCCCCCCCACCCCCCCGCCCCGCCCCCCTAAACCACAGAGCGTGGCTGGGCCCAAGAAAGTCTTAAAAACCACGGAAAAAATGGCCCAACATTCTACTCCTTGATCGCCCCTCCCTGCCCCATTCCCCCCCGCCGCCGTCTCTCTCTTTTCTTCCTTTCTTGTTCCTCTTTTTTTCTTACTTCGTCTTGCTTACTTTTTTCTTCTCCTTCTTTTTCTTATTTTTTGCTTTTTTTCTCTTCTTCTTTTCTTCTTTTTGCTTTCTCCTCCTCCCCTCTTCTCCGCCTGTTCTTCTGTCTTGACTTTTACAACTTTTCTTTTTTGTTTCTGCAATTATTCTCTTTTCTGGTCTATCCTTTCCCACCTCCTCCTCTTTCTCGCCTCTCCTCCTTACTTGCCTCTAAACCATCGGCCTCCCCCTCCCTCCCACCCTCTCTCACGCCCAACCCATACAACTATACCACCATCGCTTCCCTTCCTCAACGCCACCCTCCCCCCCTCCACCCGCTCCCTCCCTCCCTCCTCCCCACCCCTTCTCTTCCTCTCGCCCAGATCTCTCGCTTCAATTGCGCCGACCCTCATGGCCCGCACCTCCTCTCTCCCTGCCCGACCTCCCTCTGCAACCCTCCCTCCCCTCGTCCCTCCCTCCCCCTCCCCCCCTCTCCCCCTCTCCCTCCCTCCTTCCCCTCCCTCCCCTCTCTCCTTCCCCCCTCTCCCCCCTCTCCCTTCTCTCCCTCTCTCCCTCCCCATTCCCCACCACTACCAACACGCGCATATCGCGGTTTATCCGGAACGCGCGACAACCTCTGTCCGCTCCCGACCATACGAAATCGCCCGACCCGTACGGCATAGAGAGATTAGTCCAGCCCCGAGGACCCCGCTCATCCGGCTGGAACAAATCCGACCACTGCGCTGTGCGCGGGAGACTGGACCTCGAGACAACGACCACCACGGGAGGATTGATCACGGAGGAGGGGGAGAATCGTAGGAGGCGGAGGCACGGTGGGAGGACGGGGAGCGGCAAGGAGGGAGGGTAGTCATTGACACGGAGGGAGGGGGAAGGAGGGAGGGGAGGGACAGGGAGGATCGGAAGGGCGAGGGGAGGCGTGGGAGCGAGGGAGGGGAGGGATTGACACGGAGAGAGGGGAGGGAGGGAGCGTCAGCTGGTGAGGCGAGGGTGTCGGTGTTGTGAGGGGTCTAGCGGACGTGATTAAGATGAGGGAGGGAGGGAGGAGGAGGGGAGAGGCGAGGGAGGGCCGAGATGTCGCCTTTTTGTTGTTATGGTGTGTGTGGTGTGCTGCGGCGAGTGTGACACATTCGTGATGTGTGTGCCTCTCATACTGTTGTGTGACGATCGTGTGTTGTTGTGCTGTGTTGTCTTGTGCGTGTGTGTGTGTGTGTGGGATATACCTACATGTGCTGTGTGTCTCTGTGTGTTGATGTTGTGATGTGTGTTTGTCTTCTTTTTGTTGTACTTCTCTCCCTCTCTTACTCTTTCTTTTCTCTCTTCTCTCTCCCTCTCTACCTTTCCCTCCTCCGTCCACATTCGCATCTTCTCCCTCTCTCCCTCACTCTCTTTCTTTTCCTTCCCTCCCTTCACCTCCCCTCCCCCCGTCCGCCCTCTCTCTTCTCTCTCTCTCTCTCTCTTCGTCCGTCTCTCTCTCTCTCTCTCTCTCTTTCCCATCTCTCTCTCTCTCTCTCTCTCTGTCTCTCTCATCTTCTCTCTCTCTCTTCTCTCTCTCTCTCTCCTTCTCTCTGCTCTCTCGTTATGCTTCATTTTCTCAGCTCGTACATCACGTGCTTCGACGGAGGTCAACAGGTAAATATTATGACATTACTTTCAACCCTCCTTCCCCTCCCCGTCGCGCGCGGGCCCCCGTATTCTCTAACTCTCTCTCTTCTTCTTTGCGTTCTGCTTGCTCTTCTATCTCTGTGTCTTCTTTCTCTCTGCTCTCTAAGTCTCTCTCTTTGTCTTCTTCTTTCTGTTCTGCTCTCTCGTTTCTCTTCGTCTTCTCTATCTCTCTCTCCTCTCTCTCTCTGCTCTCTGGCTTCTCTCTCTCTCTCTCTACTCTCCACTCTACTTTCTGCTATCTATCTATTTCTATCCTTTCTCTTTCTTCTCAGTCCCCACCTTTCCTTTCTCTACCCTTCTATCCACACCTCAACACCCTGAATTACCCCTCCCCCCTCCCCCCCCCCCCCCCCCCCGCCGCCAGCTCTCGCCCTTTTCAACCGCTGGTCCATTGACTGAAAATTGCCGCTTGAACTGAAATAGACGTCTTTATACCCGCGTTTTGCCAACATGTCGCCTATGCAAAAACCCTCTTTCTTATTTTTCTTTCTACATCGTTCTTTCTTTATTGATTTGCTCTCTGCATCCGTCTTTTCTTATGATTATTTCCTTCTTCCTTATTATTTCATTTTTCTTCCCTCTTCTACTTCATATGTGCTTGTGCACACAATCACACACACACACAACACACACACACCCAACACACAACCACACACACACCACACACACACACACACACACACACCACACAATATAAAAATAATAAAACAATATATATAATATATTATAATATATAATAATATTATTATACCTACATCATTCTATAATTCCACTCACAGATAAGCTTGGCCTCGTGGCGTAGTTAACGTAAAAGCTTCATAACACTGGAATCCGATAAGAGTAGAGAGGAAGGAGGGAGTGGAGGGAGGGATGGAGGGAGGAGAAGCCAAGGAGGAGGGAGGGAGGAAAGGAGGGAGGATGTGTAAGAAGCGGTAGATAGGGATGGGAGGGAGGGAGGTGAGGAGGGAACGAAGGGAGGAAGGAGTGGGACGGAGGAGAGAGGAGGGAGAGGGAAGCGAAGGGAGGATAGGGAGGGATGGTACGATTCGGTAGGAGGAGAAGGAAGTGAGAAGGCGTGTATGGGACGGAGGGAGGGAGGGAGGGAAGGGAGGGAGGAGGGGAGGGAGGAGGGGCAAGGGAAAGGGAGCGGAGAGAGGGAGGGAGACTGAGGGAGCGCGGGACACAAAAGGAGGGAGGAGAGAGCGGAAGGGATGGTGCAGGGAGAGGAGGGAGGGAGGGCGAGAGAGGGAGGAGGGAGGAAGAGCTTATGTGAAGGAAGCCGAGCGGCAGGGGGAGGGAGAGAGGGAGGAGGGAAGCGAGCGGACGGAGGGAGGGATAGTGAGAGGGAGGGAGGAGGGAGGGAAGGCAGGATATGAGGATGGGTAGCGCCGAACTAGGGGAGGAGGGGGGAGGGCAAGGGAGGGAGGGAGGGAGGAGGAAGTGGAAGCGGAGGGAGGCGAGGTCGAGGAGATGGGAGGGACGGGAGCGCACGAGGGAGGGAAGGAGAGAGAGGCGAGGAGGGAGGGAGGAGGGAGGGAGGAGGAGGAGGAGCAGGAGCGGCAGGTGAGCGGAGAGGAGAGAGGAGGGGATGAGGGAGCGGAGGGATGCGGGATGAGGGAAGAAGGAGGAGAGAGGAGGAGAGGGGAGGAGGGAGGGAGGAGAGAGGAGGGAGGGAGGGAAGGAGGGCAGGGAGGGAGGAGGGAGGGAGGAGGGAGGGAGGACTGGCGAAGGAAGCGGAGGAGAGCGGTGAGGGAGGAGGGAAGGAAGGGAGAAGGGAGGGATCGGAGGGAAAGGGGCAGCTGAAGCGAAAGGGCTAAGGGGGAAGGATAGAGACGGTAGGGAGGGAGGGTAGGAAGGCGCAGGGAGGGAGGAGGAGGGCAAGCGAGAGGAGGAGTAAGTGAAGGAGGAAGGTGAGGAGACGGGAAAGGAAGGAAGGCAAAGGGCAAGGAAGAGAATAGGTGGAGAGGGAAGGGAAAAGGGAAGGAGGGCAAGGAGAAAAAGAGGGAGAGTGAAGGAGGAAGGGAGGAGAACGGGAAAGGGAAGGAAGAGAAAGGTAGGAGCGAGAGGGAGGAAGGGAGGAAGGGCAGGAAGGGGAGGGACGAGGCGAAAGGCAATGGAGGAGGAGGAGGAGTGTGAGGATGGGAGGGATGCAAAGGGCTGGAGGAAGCGCAAGGAAATGGGGAACGTAACGCAAAGACGGACGGATGGACGACGGAGGGAGGGAGGGAGGGAGAGGGAGAGAGAGAAGAGACTGAGTCAGGGGCGATGGGAGGGAGGAGTGATGGAGGCGATAAACCTTGTATTATAAGAT